TCAAATCAAATCCCATAGTGATAGAGATAGTAGACGTATTAATGGTAATGAAGAAGGTATTATTCAAGAAGTATAATTAGGTGAGATAAGGTTGGAAGACAAAGGTAGATGTGCTGACGAATCCAGAAGATTAGGATTTGACAGAGCACAACGAATGGATGCACTTGCGCCATTCCAAACGATTCTGAGCCATGTCGTTCAAGGTCTCTAACCATGGATTATTTTCATCTCGCGGACCTCAACCAGGTAGTCTACATCTACCAACATGACTCAGTCCACTAGTCAGTGACTTCATGGATTTCTGCTATGTTTTGGTTTAGCCACCCCTAACTTTCGTCCAACCTACACTCCTACACCACAAAACATAGCTCATTGAGGGCAGTCGGTGGTTAGTCAATGTTTAGCAAACGTAAATAATTTATGCTTAAAAATTTGATTTTATTCAGAAAACCAAAAGAAAAAATAAATAATAATAAACTTAGATAAATTCTTTGAGTCGATCGATGAAGTCATTAAACTAATTAGTTAATTCATGAATCTGTTTATAAATATTAACATTTTTTTTAAAAAAAAAACTGATCAAAGCCAATAAATATATAAAAAAATAATAATAATAATTCACTAATTATAACCTAATTTTTTATTTTGACTGTACAAATTGTTAGTTAGTTATTTAGTTAGTTAGTGAGTGAGTGTAGTAGTAGAACATTGAAATAATGAAAATTGTTTTAAATAATAAATAATCAGCCAAGTTCTTTTGTTTTAAATGGCGGAAATTATTATTATTATTATTATTATTATTATTATTATTATTATTATTATTATTACTTTACAACTGGAATTTTTGCAATGAAAGACCAAAAACATTAATAATAGAAATAAACAACATTTTTAACACATTTTTTCTTTAATTTTTCTTCTTCATCTTAAAGAAAAACACAACCAAAAGTATAAAAGTTTATATTGATCGATTGACTCAGTGTGCTTTGTATCTATCTCAATTGTGTTGAATAAGAAGTCATCGACTAACAAACAATGTACACAGTCCGTTGGTCAGTTAGCCAATCATTATCAATGTAACATTTGACTATTTGTTATAATTCTCTCTTTAATACAACCCACCTATTTCCTAATGCTTAGTATTTTCTCGGACACCAATTTACTCGAGACGTTCTGCCAAAATTAGAACACCGTTGACCAGGGAAAGAGATTAATTATATTCCGATAACAAGGTTAGAATGGAAGTCAGAGAAGTTCAAAACGTTAATAGACTTATAGTTTTTACATGAGAACATTCTAGAATGTGTTCCCCATTATCGACTAGCACTGATTGGATACGAAAGAGCCAATTAGCGTGCAACAACGGGATCGTGCATGGAACATGCTTTAATCTATGTTCCACTATCAAAAAAAGGAAAACTTAAGTTATATAATCTTGTGAGTGTGTTCTAAGATTTCAAATGACGATTTTATCTACCAATGGTACGAGTTCTAGCAGAAAACTAGGAGCTAATGTATACAGTTGTATTATAAGAACCTTAATCAACAACACGGCTCCTCTAGGCACAAATCTCAGATTAACAGTTAATGACTTCACTGGAAAGCTATTGGAGATGTAAGGTACGTCATGGATACACAAAGCTCGGTTGCTTTTTGCCAAGTTGCGTGACCTATGGCGCAGGCGAGATATCCGTTTGCTAAACAAAGGACGAGTCTACTGCACAGCAATTAGCTCTGTGCTACTTTATGGCTGTGAAGCATGGCCAGTAGGAGTCGAAGACATTCGTAGGTTATTAGTATTCGATTATAGATGTCTTCGAAGCATTTCTCGTGCATCGTGGTACAACCGAGTAAGCAATGTTGTCATTAGGAAACGAGTTCTAGGCAGAGGTGACAGATCGAAGTAGTGAAACTACATCGATTGAGGTGGTTGGGACATGTGTAATGTATGCCCAACTGCCGACAGCCTCGACGAGCAATCTTTTGTGGTGTAGGAGTAGGTTGGACGAAAGCTAGGGGTGGTCAAACGAAAACATGGCAGAAATCCATGAAGTTACTGACGACTGGACTGAACCATGTTGGGGTCCGCGAGACAGTAGTAACCGATCGTTTAAGACTTCGAATGATAAGGTTCAAGATCGTTTGTAACAGTGCAGGTGCATCCACTCTTTGTGTTCTCTCAAATTCTAACCTTCTGAATTCCTCATTACCTTTATCTTTTTCTTTTAAGTTTATTTCACTAAGTTCTTCGGACCTTAATCTCTCCGATTACTGCTAATACTTTCACTACCTCTACTACTATGGGATTTGAATTGACAATTACATCTCTGTTCTAATGTGGTATGGCAACCTGAACTGATGTACTTACGTACGAAGTTCTACGTTGTAATTGACTGACTGTATGGTACTTGTTACAATGACCTTATTCATTGAAGGCTAATAACTCCAGTTTCACTAATGTTATGACTGTAAGTTGTGTTGAACTTGTCACACACAAGTAACCAACTAAAGTCATATAACAGAAATATGTTCCAACCTTTCAGTCATTCATGTGCAACATAGGACCTCATACATGTGCATCGATTCAAGTTTTCACTGCACAATAGTACAGTGAGACGAAATTGTCAAGACAGACTACAAAATAGTGGATCTACTATGTTAAGTTTGTAATAGCAGAAATGATCCTATATGGAAAGAAAAGTATAAAGAACTTCTGAGGATGAGGTTCTAAGGTTAGATAAAGTGAATGAGTCTACACTATTGCAAACGATTCTGAGTTAGATCATTCGATATCTCTAAACGTTATTTATGATACACACACGGTTCCCAACGAGGTAATTTGCACCTATCTATATAGGTCTATAGAATTGTCAGTGACTTTATTGACTGATTTCACATCTTAGTTCGATCGCATCAAAGGTTTTTCCAACCTATGTCTACGCTAGACAAAATCAATTATATATACTCGCAAGGTGGCATATGAGTAGTATATGGCGATGTGTTGTCTAAAAGTTGTTACCAGATAGTGTCTAGAAATCAAAGCATATGGCACGGTTAGAATGTATTGAAGATCAGAAAAAAATGTAAGAGAAGACAGTTGAAACCTGCTTGTATTGCAAATAGATGTCTAAAAATTATGTTACACATTTTTGAAACCATGAATCGTTTCATACCAGGACGAAACGGTCGTCAAGTGCTTTCAGGTTTCTAATGGTGGTGTAACATTGATCGATTCATGGTTTCAAAAATGTGTAACTTAACAATCTTCACAACCCCGTAATGTAAAAATTATGTGTAGAAATAAACTGTGTCTTCTTTCGAATGTATATATTCCATCTGATCTTGACTTTTTTGTATGCAACACCAGTATTCCTTCATATACGCTTACTGACATCCTCTCTTCGAATTGTATTCTCAATATTGAATTTTTCTATCATTGCTAATACAGTTATCTTTACTTCTTTGAGAATCGTTTCGTTAATCTATCCATACTGATTTAGCATTAGTAACTTGGACTAATTGACACTTGTTCTACATTTATAATGATTGACTAAAAACAGATCATGTTTATTCAATTTTCTAGTTTTATAAATTCGATATAGCTCATTTATTCAAGATTATGTAGTGCTGTAATGACAACAACTCAGGGTCTATACAAAACTTCTGTTTTTTTCTACTTTGGATTAGTGAACAATCGATGCGATTTTTAAAAAAAAGCTCTAGATGATCAATTGTCACGAATTTCAAGTATTAAAAGTCCAAGAAAAATCAGGACAAACCTACAAGTTATTGTTTATTTTTGCTATTGTTCCAAAAATAAACACGAGAAAATAACGTATTTATTTAGTGTAAAGTACAGATATACATAATAACTTGACATGAAAAAAAAAGAACTTCCGTCAATCACGTACTCAAAATATACTACTATTACATGGTATTTGTTCAGTAAAAAGTTCTTTACTTTTACAAACATGAAGCTAAACAAAAAAAACAGTTCAACAGTAAACGAAATAAACGCATTGGTACTTATTAGACATAAATATTCAGTCAAAAGTAACGAATCACCTAGTGTACATAGGTGGATCAGTGCAACTTGTCATATTACATCAGCACACTGAGATGGGTATTAGAGTAGTAGTAGTAGTAGTAGTAGTAGTGTGGTGCTGTGGTGCGAGCTACTTATAAGTAGTATATGACGCGAGCGTTAACGTAATGTCTGGCAGCCGAAGATGGGGGAACATCAAGAAAGGAAGAGTTAGAAAACAATGGAATTTGTATGAAACGCATGAATAGTGACAATAGATTGATGTTTTGCAACAGAAACAGTCCAGTTCGATATGATGAACTGTTATTTTGCAAATGAACGATTTACAATATGGTGTTCGGATTTTACTGAGTAACTCTGTAATTTTCGTTAAATACAATTCGGTCGCCCCACCTGTGTTCTCTTTCACTACAGTAGTAGTGGTAGTAGTAATAGTAGTAGTAGTAGTAGTATGGATGATAGCAAAATGAAACCAAGCATAGAGGATATAACTTGAAAAAAAACACAACTTCATCCGCGGGATGGAGCATAAAATTAATTTTCAAATCAATGATCTACTCCATTCTTTAGACCAAACTAGGTGGAGCGGGGTTCGGACCTGTGGCCTAATATATATATATATATATATATATATATATATAAATCAGACAAACCACATAGATAAAATACGAACACTTAGTGATATTAAAAGAATCTCGATGTTTAGGAGCTGACCGGAAACAGTCGAAAACTCCACCTGGAGCCCCCCTCTGGGGCTACTTCCGGTCCCAAGCCCGAGTGAAGGAGGAGACTTGGGTATGGGAGTTAGTGAACCCAATCCCGTAGAAAACTAACTCACTGAAAAAAACCCTAACCGGAAATATAATTCAAACCATAAAAATACTCAAATACATTTTTTAGTGGATATACGAATGACAGTAAGATAAGTAATCAAAAATTATTCGCAAATACTTACCACTAGGTTCTATATTCATTGAAGTGTTCAAATTTGTATTTAATATATTTTGATTAGAATGATTATTATTATTATCATGATTATTATTATTATTGGATACAACAGATGATAAAATAAATATAGGTTGATCAATTTTTAAATCTTGTGTATATGGTGTTGGTGTTGATAATGTACATTGCATTTGACCTAATGTAGTGGTATTATTATTATGATTATTATTGTTATGAATAGGAGAAAAGCTTTCTGATGTACTTGAATTCATAATAGTAGTTGTATGTGGGAACGAATGATTTGATGATGCATTCATATAAGTATTAGTATTATTACTATTACTACTATTATTATGAGTATTATCAACCAGACGTGTATCATTTAAATTTGCACAATTAATTGGTAATGTTGTTGTTTGATTATTCGATGAATGTTGAATAATATAAGGCATGGAAGGTTGTTTTGATGATAGAATATTATTCACTTGATTGGGAGTTAAGAGGAAAAGAAAAAACAACAACAAAGAATGCGAATAATCAATACATTGGTATAGAGTTTGATGAATAAAATGAAAAGAGAAAAAAGACTTCATTCACTTACTAATTGACTGGTCAGTCAGTCAGTTGCAACGTAGAACTGCGTACGTATTGTACATAAGTTCAGGTTGCCATACCATCACATTAACACAGAGACGCAAATGTCAAATCAAATCCCATAGTGATAAAGATAGTAGAGGTATTAATGGTAATGAAGAAAGACTAGGGTTTGAAGATATTATTCAAGAAATATAATTCAGTGAGATAAGGTTAGAAAGACAAAGGTATAGGTGCTGATGAATCCAGAAGATTAGGATTTGACAGAGCACAACGAATGGATGTACTTGCGCCATTGCAAACGATTTCGAGCCACGTCGTTCAAGGTCTCTAACCATTGGTGACTATCGTCTCGCGGACCCCAACAAGGTAGCCTACATCAGTAGTAATTATAGTGTATATTAAGCTTTTACAAGTTCACCAGGAATTATTATTTATATATGTTTATTTTTCATCAGTGATTATATATTATTTGATGTAAAGTAGACAACTGGTATTAATAAATAAATCCTGATCGATTGACCAGACATCATTCTCAACAACCTACTGTGGCAGAGAATGAATGAACCATCCTCTCTCAGTTCAAGAGAAAATTACGAAAAGACGCTGGAGGCAGAATAATATGATGAAGCAATATACAATGATGTCAGAAAGAATTAAAGTAGCTTAAGATTCATAATAATATACATATTTATGCAGCAACAAGATTGAGATTATTTAAAGATACAGTTCAAATAAAAAGCATAAGGAGGAATGAGACAGCGAACTAAATGAAGTCCGGAAAACAGATAAGATGGATCACGTGATCACTACAAAGGTTATAAAAAGTTTACACAAGTTTTAGTTCATTGAAGGGTTACGTAATAAGCAAGCAAGATTTGAAAGGATTAACATAATTTTCGAAAAACGAATGAATGAAAAGATTATTTTAGATTACATAACGATAATAATGGCAATAACAAATAATAAAAATTGAAAAAAAAATTATCGAGGTAGCGATAAGTTGATTACCGTTTCTTCAAGAAACACCTAAATGCGGTTTCAGCTTCTTAATTGCTACTGCTTCGGCAAACTGAATAGACATTGTGTTTTTTAGTCTGTTTCGGAAATGTCGACAATGTATCCAGTATTATCAATGAAATGTCGGGCTATTGCACCTCTAAAATCTTATATTTTTCAAAACGTTCTAATCACACCATACATCTGGATCGGACACTACGCGTCGCCCGTAACTTCAGGGTGACACTCTGCTGCATATCCACAGCATACAATTTATAAGCTTTGTTGTAAGTAGTACACACGGTAAGGAGTCGACCTTATGTCACTGATTTTAGTGACAATTCCCTAATATATTTGAACGACTTCAAAACAGTGAATGATATATGTTTTTGTATAATATAGTGAACTGAATGAAGTGATGCACCCAGACCACTGAATGCCAGAAGCCATATGTTAAGAGTCCATGCGCAAGATGAAGGTCCTAGGTTCGAATTCCCTTAGTGTAATAGTGAATACGTACTGCTACCTGTTGGCTCAAAATCTTTGGCAATGGTGCAGGTGCATTCATTCATTGTGTTCTCTCAAATTCTAACCTTCTGAATTCTTCATCATCTCTATCTTTCTCTTTCTAAAGTTATCTCACTGAATTATGCTTCTCGAATTATACCTCCGAGCCCTAATCTTGTCCATTACTGCTAATACTTCTACTATTTCTACTACTATGGGATTTGAATGGACGACTGAGTCTCTGTGCTAATGTGGTATGACAACTTGAACTGATGTACATACATACGAAGTTCTACGTTGTAGCTGACTGTCTCATACCAAAATGAAACATCTATCTAATGCATCCTGACCCTTAGTTTTGATCTAACTAAGAAATGAGTTAGTGATATAACCTACGAAAATCTTATTCAAGTGATTTTTAATCTTGGATTTTATTGTAGCAAGGTTTTAATATTAAATATGCAAAAAATAGTTACGATTTTGTTAAAATATAACCCTATTTTTATAATAAAAGATGTATCATTCAAGCATTACGTTATTTCGACTTACGGTGATTATTTGATCCCGGTAAATTAGCAAATAATGCCTGCGTAAAGAAAAAGTATACAGGTACATGAGTGTAAAAAAAAGTCTACTGAAACTAGTTATTAAGGTTGAAAATTCACTTACAAATTACATATGAGATATTATTATTATTTAAATGGAAAAACCGAAAATCATTTACCGTTTTATTAAAAAAGATTGAACCACAACTTGTTTCTTAGGGAGAATAATTTCTAGTCTAAATAAGTGTATATATGATCAGGGTGCCATTTAACAGGACAACTCAACTGATTAATGAATGAATAACGCTGCACAACGCAATAACTATCTATCATACAGAAATGAGTTTGATGGATTCAGGTATCATTTGATATAGAGTAGCCCAATCGGAGGTGATCAAATGAGGCCACATTGTGTCGTCGTCAATCAAGAATCTTTGAATGACAAATGCATATGATTGGATGAGAAATGGCTTCATTTTCTAAGTGTTTATGCATTTGATTTGATTCAGCCCATTTTCAACTTCTATCTTCGATTTTCGGGCCTTATCACTTAGTAGCTGATCAAGAGACCTGCAAGAAAGGAAGTTTATTTTGTTAGTTAGTATCAGTCTCCGATATGTCATGTTATAACGGTATTCTCTGATATTGTTATGATTTATTTACAGGATAAAAATGTGTTAGCAAATGACTGATTTCCGAAAAATTTATTCAAAGCTTTTTGTAAATAGAATTTTTTAAAATTATGCAGACAAATTCAATGAAGACTCCGTAAAAATTTGTTTTTCTTGTAGTATATTTTTTGGAATCATGACAAACAGTACCATAAATGCACGTGAAATCAAAAATGTAATCATAACTGTTCAGTAGTGATAATTTAAAAATATACTCTTTGAATATTTATTGATTTATAACTAATTACGAACCAAGTTTTTGAAATACTATGTAATTTAACTTGTAAATAATCTCCATGAATCGTGTTAAAGATTGCTAAAGTACCGTTATATTCCAAAATAAGCACCCCTCATACTTTCGAGGATGTGACAACGTCTTCGATTACTGCTAATATTTCTACTACCTTTACTGCTATGGGGTTTGAATTGACAATTGCGTCTCTGTGCTAATGTGATATAACAACTTGAACTGATGTACGTACGTACGAAGTTCAACATTGTAACTGACTGACTTAGGGCTGACTATAGCTTGTAACAACGTTATACACATTTTAACCAAATTAGTATAGCTTTCTGATTATTATTATTGTTATTTCAAAGGATTTGATGGTGAATTAACTAGATGAATGTCATTCCACATGAGATAACCTGGAGAATAACAGTGTTAGACAAGATGAAGGGTATATATATATACATATATATCAATGTTTAATTGTCATTTAGCATTAATTTAGGTATGAAATTGAAATATCACAGGAGAAAGAAATGAATAACTCATTTGGCTATCTACTAATACTAACACTAACTCTTATGAATGTTTTTTGTACCTGCCTTTCCATGTAGACAGAATAATAATTTGTATATATGATCTTCTTACTTGCTAATTTCCTCAATTATACAACCCAGCTATTTCAGTGCACACACTGTACAGCGCTAAACTAGTCGCCAAAATCAGACCACGGCCTGAACAGGTGGTCACTATATTCTGACAAATCAAGTTAAATGTAAAGAAATCGTAGTAATAAAAACATTATCAGATCTATAATTTTTACACAGGAATAAGCTAGAACCTTAACCAACTGTCCGCCAGCGCTGGTTAGTTGAGAATGCATTAATCAGAGTACTTCAAAATTTCCCAGCTTGAACATGATTTAATGCCGTCTATGTCTTACCAGCATTAGTCATCATGTCCATAAAATATTAGATTTGTATGCTATCATGAGGAATTACGGTAGAGCAACTTAAATTAATGCATATTTATGTTATGCTAGGCAATGATAGATGGACTGACTTAGATAATAATTTTATGTGAATAACAAAACACGGAAATGTATTAATTCAAGTAGATATTATTTGGAAAAAAGTCATAAAAGATGGCAATACATTGCAACAAATGATTAGGATATGAATGGAAAAATCGACAAAAAAGAATCATGTAGTATGTGTACTGTACTGATACGTTGAGACCAAATGCCTTGTCCTAGCTTTTGGACAAACTAATTAACATTTTCTGTCCAAGTTACTATTTGCACGTCACTTGACCACTCATAATCCTCGATTGTTTTTATTCGAATACGCCTGTATGTTTACTTTGCTAATCACATGGCTAGCTTATTTTTATCCGACTAAAAATACTTAGTCAAGCCTTAGTGCATTGCGTTGGCCCACTACTCTCTCCTTCTCCGCTTCACTTTGCTTCGTTCTTGGATTCCCTTCCTTGTCTGTATACCAACGAGCTATATTTTGCGGGGTAGGAATAGGTTGGAAGAAAGCTAGGGGCGGCCAAACCAAAACATGGCACAAATCCATGAAGTTACTGACAAGTGGACTGAGTCATGTTGGTAGGTGTCGACTACCTGGTTGGAGCCCGCGAGATGATATGAGTTAGAGACCCTGAATGACATGGCACAAAACCGTTTGCAATGGCGCAGGTGTATCCACTTTTAATGTTCTCCGGAATTCCGATCTCCTGAATTCCTCATCATTTTTATCTTTCTCTTTTTGAGTTTATTTCACTGGGTTCTACTTCTTGAATAATATATTCGAACCTCAATCTCTCCTATTACTGTTAATACTCTCACTACCTCTACTACTATGGGATTTGAATCGACAATTACATCTCTGTGCTTATGTGGTATGGCAACATGAATTGATGTACGTACGTACGTACGAAGTTCTACGTTGCTATTGATTGATCGATTGACTGTCAACCAACGCGGATGTACGAAATAAATTCATCTACAAAGCCGTTTCGGGCTTTTAATTACCACCGTCTCATAAACGGGGTTCGCTTAAGAATGTGATATACGGAAATTTAAGGAAAGATAATATTTCATAGCATATACACTTAATTGTAAATATTGGAATCAGATAGTGGGCCAGTAAAAGCATATTAAAATACTTAAATTATTGAAAGAGAGAAAGAGTAAGCCTAGGCTACTTGAGGTTTTCACCAAACTATTTAATTGAACACATATAAATGGCCTATTATTTGGATATAAAAATATTCTCCAAAAATTGTGTCGTTGAGATGGTGGAAAAGGAGGTATAAATAGTAATTTTAGCAAAAAAAAATACAAGGGGGAATGAAGTTGATATCATAGCATACCTTCAATAAAATTCACAACATTAGTGTTTTACATACATCGAACGTTTCCTTTTTGCTGATATTCTGATATGTTAGTTTAGTATTGAATAGTAGTAAGCTTATGTAATAACTTTCAGGGGATAGTTTTATGAAAAAAAAACACATTAAAATCAGGCGAGACAGAAAAAAAACAACTCAACCTACCTTAGAGTTTACAACACTATTATTACAGGTAAATGAAGCACCAACTGACAAGGAACACAAACTTTGTTGATGTGATGACGATCTAGGATAATGAATTAATTGAGAATTAGAGAAGTTTGGTTGTGTGGTTGATGCAATATTATGAGAAACAAGAACAGGTTGAAGCTGTGGCATATATTCATTCTCCGCTGTGTTCATTGATGCAATAAGTGAACTAGGTGGTAAACTCATTGAGCTTACTGGTCTCATATGAGTTTCTGTTACGGTATTTATGGAATTTTGTGAATGAATACTAAATGTAGACTGTGGTTCAGTAATAAATCTCACATTTGATTGCATATCCATTGGATCAAACTTTGATTTATCATCGTGAGTTGGTTGACAAATTTTGTTACAACCATTGTTATTGTTTAGCTTTTTTATATTCCTAAGAGAATTTCGCTCGTCGCCGTCATCATCATCATCATCATCGTCATCGTCTTCATCGTCTCCATCACCACCTCCACCATCTTCATTATCTTCACTTTTTATATTTGAATAAGGCTGTGAAGGGATAACACCAGTTGCGCCATTACAATTTGCTCTTATACGGCGATTCGTCAACTGAAATATTAAAAAAAATTAGCATAAAAAGAGAGAGATGAAAAATCTAATTTACTAGTTAGTAAGATAAAAATATATAAAATTTAGTTTTAATTCAGTTCAGACATTCGTGTATGTCAATAAATCTACATGCAAAGGCTTTGGTAGAAACAGGGCTTTTTGTCTAAACCTAATGTGAGTAGACTAGGAATGAATTTATCATATTTCCACAATATTACAATCTCAATAATATAAATACAAGACTTAGCAAAAAAATTAAGACTTATTCTAAGAATCCGAACGCGTATATGTAGTCTCACTTAAACATCTAGCCAGATATACTAAATAAACTGAATTATTTTTTGAAATCTACTACGAACGATTTGTCTTTTTGGAATTTATCACGATGGATTACTTGTCCTCAACCAGTATCAACAGAAAAAGTGATACTTTTAAACATATAGTCAGACAGACCATATAAATAAGTGGTGCACAGGAAAAAAGTCAGTCTGTCACAACGTAGAACTTCGTACGTACGAACATCATTTCAGGTTGCCATACCACATTATCACAGAGACGCAATTGTCAGTTTAAATCCCATAGTGGTAGAAATAGTAGAAGTATTAGCATTAATGTAGAAGATCAGGGTTCGAAGATATGATTCGAGAAGATTAATTCAGTGAGATAACTTTAGGAAGAGAAAGATAGAGATGATGAGGGATTGAGAAGATTCGAGAGAACACAAAGAGTGGATGCACCTGCACCATTGAAAGCGATTTCGAGCCATGTTGTCCAAGGTCTCTAACCGTCGGTTACTTTCGCCTAGCGGACTTCAACCAGGTAGTTGACTCCTACCAACATGACTCAGTCCACTTGTCAGTGACTTCATGGATGTCTGCCATGACTTGTTCCGGCCGCCACTAGCTTTCTTCCAACCTACTCAAACACAAGACATAGATCGTCGCGGCAGTCGGTTGTTAGGCATATGTAGTACATGTGCCAACCATCTCAACTGAAGTTTCAATACTTCATCTATTGATCTGCCATCCCTAGATAGTACTCGTTTCTTAACGACAGCATTGCTTACTCGGCTGTCCCAGGACATACGAGCAATGCTTTGAAGACATACATAATCGAATACTAATAGCCTACGAATGTCCTCTACTCTCACCGGCCATGTTTCGCATCCGTATAGTAGGACGAAGCGAACTGTTGTGCAGTACACTCGTCCTTTGGTTAGCAAACGGATATCTCGCCTGCGCCATAAGTGATGCAAGTTGGCAAAAGCCAATCGAGCTTTCTGTTTCCGTGCTGAGATTTCGTCATTCACCAGGCCATCAGCACTGATGAGACTACCGAGATAAGTGAGGCGGTATGCACGCTTGACTACTTCACTCCCTATTACTTGTTCAGGTGCCGATGTAACCCAATCTTGAAGCAACATTTTACATTTTGAGGGGGAAGCAAAAGAAGTAAAGTGTAGAAAATATATAACTTATGGTAACAACGAAATTGATTCACTTACTTACCCTTTCCATATCAGAATTACTTAGAAATTCATTTGAACGATGGTGTTTTTTCAATCGTTGCAAGGCATGATCCACTGTAACACTAGCATATTGGTAAAGTCGATTACTGCGTGTGAATACCAGTAAAGCAATTTCACATTCACACAAAACGCTCAATTCATAAGCTTTTTTGAATAAACCACTTTTACGTTTTGCAAATGTGACCTATCATATAAGAAATAGCAATAAGTTTGATTGGATAAATTATTAATTTACCAGTCGATTCTTTTCATCTTTGATAAATTTTATTTCAATCTTTTTACGTCCCATTTCCTAAAAAGAAAACAAAAAAGAGTTGAAGTCGGTTAGCTTTTGATGTATTCGGAATTTTCGAAATCATTCAAATTAAAAGGAAGTCAGAATGACAACTGCAGTTTGTGTATTTATAAAAATACTAAACTTATAGAAATTACAAGTGCAAACATTTATTTGATATGATATTTTACGTATATTAACTGAAAAAGTGCTTTGTGTTCCTCACTATGTAATGACAAAGCGTATACACAACCTTCACAATTACATTCTCTTGGAAACTCGAATCCATGTCATTAAATCCTTACTATAGGATTGAAACTTGATTGCGATATACAGATTGTTCCTATTAAACAACTATGAGTCGGGAGCACTATTATATTTTCAAACAGTACAATTGCATTAGATGTATCTGAGCTGAAAAATTTGGCCGTTTACGATTTTTTAGTACTTTAAGAGTGATAATGTAAATTGATACGTTGATCCGGATGGTTGGTGGATTCACTTACTCTCTAACTCATGTTGAAGTCAGGTTAGCTATATTTCGATATGCATAAAAGCGAAATCAATAGATCTGAAAGCGTCTTCGGTTAGCTTGAAGATACAGTTAGCTCTTGTTTAAGAAAGGGCAGTAAGCTGTCGGAAAACATTCAGAATTTTATAGAACTGCATCTAGATTGATTCATGCAATCTTAAAACTGACAATACAGATTGGTTTAGTTAAACATGTTTCGCTTATCATTTACAAGGGATAGAGGTGACCTAATCAGTTTTCGAACTACTTAATAATAATTTTCATTGAACATGCTTTTACTCTCTTTTCATTTCACGGCATCAAATTTACTAGGACATTAAAAACATTCACAATTCCAAAACCAATTATTTTTTGTAGTAGCTACCAACTTTTCTTACGAACCGCCAACAAATGAGACAGCTTTTTTAACAGTTGTAACTCTTGTTCATGAATCCATAAGAAAGATTAACCGTCAACCAAATCCCAAAGCTTAACATATGCTTTCTAGCCTTTTGATTTTCCTCTCTTCCTAGGCTTCATTCATGAAATACCTTTAAATGAGAATTCACAGTGAGGAATGGTCCATCAACCAACTTTAAAAGGTCTTAGTAGTGATGGTTCATTTTTGTGGAATTAGGAATTCAATAAAAAACACAGCCTAATAATACTTTTAAGATATTCATATTTTTCTGCATGGCTGCGAAGATAAACTCGTATGTAGTTGTTGTAAAGACAGCAAAAAAAGTTACACCACGAACAATCTACAGTAAGGCATACCGTATACATGTAACCTTTAAGACAACAGCATTTAACAATACGAAGTCTGAGTATAGTTTTGTACTACCATCGTATGTAAAAGTATAGAACAATGAGATTACATTGTTAGTTTCTATTTTATCGTTTTTGATGTCAAGGTTTGTGACTGATTAGAATCTATTGGCTAATTTGCATCCTGGACAGGCGGCTCCTGTATTATCAATTCATTAGGTTTTAATTATGTTGGATATGGTACTAGTGACTTAAGTGACAACAATTAAACTGCATAGGGTTTACAAGAGCCTATGAAGACTGGTGACTTTCAATTCTTTACGCCAACGACGAGAAAACAGTTCTTTGCAAATGAAATCTATACCCATCGCAAAAGCCAACAGGTTAGTCAGTCAGTCAGTTACAACTTAGAACTTCGTACGTACGTAGATCAGTTTGAGTTGCCATACCACATTATTACAGAGACGCAAACTTCAGTCCAAACCCCATAGTGGTAGCGATAGTAGAAGTATTAGCAGTAATGGACAAGATTAGGGCTCGAAGATATGATTCGAGAAGCATAATTTAGTGAGATAACTTTAGAAAGAGAAAGGTAGAGATGATGAGGAATTCAGAAGGTTAGGATTTGAGAGAACACAATGAATGGATGCACCTGCGCCATTGCAAACGATTTTGAGCAAACAGGTACTTGAACTTATCAGCTTAGTTGGTAATATGTTGATGTTTGAAGCTTGAGTCTAAGTTTGAGTATCACCACTAGAATGGATGGAAATATAGCTGACGAGTTTAAAATATAATGAAGCATGTTTCAGGTTGACTATTATTCGATCAATAACATGGACGTGTAACAGATTCAAATGTATATACTGAATTAAGGTGCACGAGACCAGTTATTCGAAATAGCATACATTTACTGCAACTAAAATATTATAAGCTAAGTAAATAGACGCCGGGAATCAAGTTAATAAAAATAACACACTAATTTAAAGATTAACAGACACTACATGAAAACTACTAGGGTGTAATTATTACTACAGATACCCGACAGGAAATCAAACAGTTTATTTACTAAATAATCTTTCTAACCGCAAGCTAGGATCGAACAATGTAAGGTTACGAAATAATTGAGAGTTGAGTTCTAACACCAATCAGTCATCCAAACGCCAAAGACTTAATGAAAGAAAGCTCTTAACTTGCTTAGCCAGTCAAACCGGTAGGAGATAACACACTGAACCTGAGTAGAGGCAAAGTATATTCTTGTCAGGTGCTAAAGCTGTACTGAAGGTCACGCCCGCAAACTAAACACAACTTATGGCATCAACTGTTCAATACTCAGGCACAGCGAATTTATCTCTTGTAATATGGAATAATCAAACATGAGCTAAGCACGTTGTGCCAGAGATGAGCAGTGTACTCTAACATACTTCAAAGGAGTTGAAAATCTTATCGCGAAGGCTGTGACCAGTCTGATTACTATCTGGAGATTTGAAAAAATTTTACTCTCAGAAAATCCTAAGTTTCAAAGAACATGCAGTTTAGTCCAATTAAGAAAGCGATTTTAACCGTACACCAAATGTATTAGCTATCGTAATTCTTTATGAACTGACTAGTTGTTCAAACGATGAACAAACTAGCAACGTTAATGGAACAGGAGAACCTAGCTTTTTATCAACAAGTAAAATAAATTATATAGTTTCAGCACCGATGCTTAATAATGACAAAAAGTAAACAAATTACAGTAATAGCGAATCTTAAGGTCATGCATACCTAGCTCAAACAGGACACAGAAACTCGGTCACCTTGAAAACTGATTCCAACAAAGCAATTATTCGCTGTTCCATCGATTCTCTCAAAGCCAGTCACTATATCAGTCGGCTCGGTTCATGTTATGAAACGATTGGTTTATTGTTGATATTTTCGTCACTTTTCGATTTCTTTGGTGGTGAGTTTATAATTCAGTTAAGTGTTAACGATACATTACTTTGACAGAAATTAAGGAGCTCGGATACAACTGATTCTTACATTATCAAGGAATATATCCCTTCGTCTTTCAGCCAGTCAACAAGTATGATTGAAATAAGTCTACTAATTCACAACGGAAGACTGTTTGATTGGATTTGGCTGACCTCCTAGTATGGCTGAACCAGCCCTTTTTTCGAACTAACTACTTGATGGTTTTGGGGTTATACTGCTTTAATAAAATGGCTTGAAATATGGAATTAGTTACAAAGCCAAATGAAGCCGTCTTGCGTTTTGCATATTCAAGATTAGGTATCGCAGGTGTTTTCCGATTTTCGCAAGGTGGATTCTCTGTGCCACGAAATAGGTTAAAGTCCTGGCTGGACATACGTTCTCTCAGTTTTGTCAATAAAACCCATGGCAGTGAGTAGGAATTTATTCGCAGTTGCTTGAACGCGTGGCCAAACGAGAGAATTTTGAGAGGGAGAGCGGACTGTCGCCACTCCCAGGCGTACCCAGGACATCCGGGAGTGCTGTCAGTTCGTCAGACCATTCTATGAATTCTTATCTATTGAACGAGACACAAAATACAGCAAGTAGGAATTCATGACTCGTAATCCTAGGACAAAGATATAGTATCAAGTCGGAGTTTGGGTTTTCTTGATGGGCTAGTGTCACCTGCAAAGTACTCCTAGATTATTGCTGGAATCTTTTAAGGTAAGCAGACACGAGACCTTGTTCTTAACCTTGTCTTTTACCGAAAGCTCAGTAAGGAATTAAGAGTATCCTTTTCAGAATTCGTCTGTAAAGCATAGCATAGAGACCCAGTGGTTTTTCCGAACAAAGTATTAATTGTTCAGTTGTCAGCGAGAACTAATTAAAATTCCGTCTTTTATTGTTTGTAAGGAGCATACTATCTTTGGCATATGAGTTCAGGTTTACCAGTTTATTTCTAACAATTGAGAAGTTGCTAGCTCTCGTTTTCGACAGGAGAGATTAGTGACGCTATTTATGGTTTTAAATGAGTGAAACAGAGTTAAAACCTTTAATAGAAACAAATATGTACGCGATACCTAGCTGTTTTCAAGCCAAGTGAGGCACTGTTGCAACGATCAAACCTCTAGGCATTTTTGTCTGGACTCGGAAGATGAAACAAGACCCACGTTCATTAGGTTGCTTCGAAATACCGGGTTTTTGGTGGTTAAATATAACCAAGACATATTATATAGATGCTAAAAAGCACATCATTCACAGAGGTCAAAAGTTCGCTGGAAGAAGACAATGTACCAATTATCAAAAATAGGTAATCATTACAATTTTCACGTACTTGATGTTCGATATGAATTTTCCCATCGTTGTTGGACAGATATTTCAGTTTTCAGCAGTAAGCCTAATCCAAAGGTAATTGCTGTCAATAGCTGTTTGCCATAGTCTTCAGCCTGTTCGAAGAAGAATACCATCATCAGCCGAATTTTATATAATAACAAGGGGAGATGATGACAGAAAGTTTATTAAACTAGACTGAAAAATTTATGAATGTGCCTGGACGAGTTCAGGGTGACAGTTAATTTGTACTTTCTTATTGACTACAATACGATTATATGAATTGAGTCCTAGCTTTTACTTCGCAAGGCCTCTGTAAGACCCGATTTTATTTGGAAGGTCGGTTAATCTATATTCTAAAATTACATGTCAGGACGATGAACAAGGATGGCTGATATTGCACCAAAGATACCAATTAGGAGCTCCATCCTTGTGAAAGCAAGCAACCTAACGCTAGTTGTGGACCACCTAATGGAATAATGAAACCAAAGCACTTCAGTAATATTTGCCACGTTCAGAGTTCCTTAGTGCTGCAAGTCAGTATCTACTGTGACACTGAACCAATCAGTTTCGCTCTCGCTGACGAAATGAACCAAAAAATTGGTTAAAAGAGTGGTAATGTTGTTATACAAATACTCTTGAAATGAGAATGACCTATCCAGATCAGTTCGTGGTAAACAAGTACAATAAAAAATTTTGGTAATCATCAATGAATGTGAGGGCGACTTATGGTCAGTGAAATCTCATAAAATAGGAATGAGATAAAAAATAGACAAATGTGTAGGTTAATATACTGCACAAAACATAAGCATGGCGTACAGAAATGTAACAACTGAGTTAAGAAGTCTTGAATTTTGGGAGAAACAAGCTGTTATTTTCACCAGGAATTTACCTGTAAAGGTATTTATATATTGTGATCACTGTCACATTCCACGTTACTCTTGGATTGCTTCCCTGATTTGCGCTGTTTTAGTAATCAGTAAAGTGATGTCTTAGAACTCCAAATTTAAATTTTTGTTTCAAGACTGAATATTTTAATCGGTGTATTGTAGTGGAACACTTATACGAAGAAAACGCGATTGGTGAAAAATAAACATTATTGTACTCGTTTCGTCTAACTGAACCAAAAACACTGACATGCGTGCAACGTTCTTTTCGCGTTGCTGCCATTTTTCATAACGCGCTGCTCTCTATTTAATGCCTACTTTCTCCTTCAATGAAATAATCAAACATGGATATATTTTGATTTAAGTGACGGGATATTACGGAAAATTCAATGGTGAACATAGTCAATCTAGACTCGGTCATCACTAAAGTATGATATACACTAAGTATATCACTCTCAGCCGATTTTGAATGTAGAAATGGAGTCTGGTTATAAATTACTAATGCGTTTGCCCTTTAAATCAAAATTTGTAAATTTAATGATGGACTACCGAACTGAACTGCAGATACTCTCAGTCAGTCAAATGCAACGTAGAACTTCGTACGTAAGTACATCAGTTCATGTTGCCATACCACATCAGCACAGAGATGTAATTTTCATTTCAAATCCAATAATAATAGGGGTAGTAAAGGTATTGGAAGTTTTCGGAGGGGTTAGGATTACAAGATATTATTCAAGAAGTATGATTTAATGAGAAAAGTTTAGAAAGTCAAAACTAGAGGCGTTGAAGAATCCAGAAGATTAGGATTTGAGAGAACACAAAGAATAAATACACCGGCGCCATCGCAAACTGTTTTGAGCCGTGTCATTCAAGGTCTCTAACCATCGACTTTTATCATCTCGCGGCCACCAACCAGGTAGTAGACAACTACCGACATGACTAAGTCCACTTGTCAGTGACTTCATGCATTTGTGCCATGTTTCGGTTTTGCTGCCCCTAACTTTCTTCCAACCTAGTACACTACAAAACAAAGCTCGAGGAGGCAGTCGGTGGTTAGGCATACGTTACACATATCCCAACCACCTCAACTGCTGAAGTTTCATTACTTCATTTATTGATCTGCCATTCTTACCTAGCACTGGTTTCCTAATAACAGCGTTGCTCACTCGGTTGTCCCAGGATAAACGAGAGATGCTATGATCGAAAACCAGTAACATAAGAATGTCCTCTACTCTCACTGGCCATGTTTCACAGCCATAAAGTTAGACTGAGAGAACGTCTGCGCAGTAAACTCGTCCTTTAATCAGCAAACGGATATATCTATAACGGATATATATATATATCGGATATATATATATATCAGCACTGATGAGACTCCCAAGATAAGTGAGGCGGTTTTCACGCTCGACTATTTCACTCCCTATAACTAGTCGAATGCCACCTTAAGGTCCAGGAAGACAACTATTGTAGGACGCCTAAATGTGTGTCACAGATACTCTAGAAGTTGATTCATCAGGCTGTAGCAACCGAAACAATATTAGTAGATGAGGCAAATTCTCATTTGTAACAGGTGTGATAACTAGACACATCACATGGTGATATGTTCTGATCGTTTAAGTTCACAATAAGGCCGCAGTCTCGATGTGTTGTAGTAATGAGTCATCTGAAATCATCAGTTGGGCTTCAATAATAACGGCAATATCCATCTATTTACGAATAAATGGATATTCTATGAAATAAGTCTTTCTATCAATTTCCGCACATAATTCTTAAGAGGACCGCGTCTGTGCGATGGCGGTAATTAAAATCCAAACATGGCTTTATAGTGAGTCAAGATGGGATTGACTATCTACACAACTATGACCGATTGCGTTTACGCCTCTAATCGTTAACCCGTCGTAAACCAAAACCAGAAGAAAATAAAGTCCAGAAGAAGGCGCATATTTGCTGGTGATTTCGTGGTACCGAAAGAATACTGAGTTCGTGACCGAGAATATGGGCGAGGATACAAATAACAGTATAAACAAGATGGCAACAAAGGAGGCGAAAAGTGACCGTACTCAATTTACGGTCAGTGAAAAAATCACTGGTACAATTTATTACATTATTAAATGCTTCTGTTTAACCAGTCGCGTTCTCTTTGTAAAAGTGGAGTCACTACAGCTTTGTGGATAAATTTCTTTCACACGTCCGCATAGGCAGACAGATAATTAAGAGAATCGTAGGAGCAAAGCAAATGGGTCGGTTTACTGAGATAAGGTCTGATTAAATATTTATAGTGCGATGAAAATAAGCTAGCCATGTGATAGGTAAAGTAGATAACAACCAAGATTACAAGCAAATAATTGAAAAGATCAAACAGCTTATGAACACCGACTCTAGAGGATGGATTATTTAGCTTGTTCAAAGGCTGAGACAAGCTATTTAGACTCGAACTGACGGTACACACTACTTACTATTCGAAGTCTGAAACTCTGTTTGAACAGTCCTCTGTTCAATCGTCGTTTGTACAGTAAATGAATAGATGTGTATTGAAAACGCTGCAAACACCACGAGGCTATAAAAATTTTTAAAAACAACCTATATACGTAATAGGGTAAGTGGATCGCTCCTAACTAT